TGACATCCATCAAACATGGCACGTGGAACTAGAATAGTCTACCCCAGTGATCGAAATAAAGGATTCAGTTCGAAATTCCAACCACCTGAAGAAGGCCGGAGCGTACAACGGCCGAAACGTTGTGACAAATATGGCGACAAAGATGAGGACAATAGTCCGACTAATGTAAATACTGTTATATATGTCAGCTTCAAAACTATTATTATGAACATCTTTGGTTCTGTCATATCCGCAATAGTTTTGGATGTCATAATTATAAATTATATTATTTTAAATAGTAGATGTTAAGGAATTAGTAGGTAATATTATATGTCTATTTGTATCTAATTTATTATTGTTGTTATCTTTTTTGTTTTGTAGATTTTGTATCATTTTCTTTTAGCATTAGCAATGAAATTGTAAGGTTATTGGAATTTTTTTTAAGTGTTTTCTATGTATATTCCTTCTTCAGGTAAACATTGCGATCTGCAGATTCTTAGTGTTTTCAAATACAATTCTATAATTACCTCAGATTTTATTCTATCACAGTGGTGAGAATAATAGTTTGAGGTAATTCTTGTTTAGCCAGTAGCCATCATTGGTTCTATTTAGCATATGTAGGAAGGGTAATGCATTAGTTTCAGAAGTAAAATCTATAATGAGTTCAACACTATTAAGTCTATTTACAAGGTTTGGTAAAATTGTGTCCTGGATAAATTATTATGGTATTATCTATGCATTTAAAAAAATATTGTGGCAAACTATTCTGGAAAGGGCCACTTTCTAGAAATTCTAAAAAAAGAATCAAGCTAAAAAGGGGGAAACTGATCAGTAATTCTTGATTATAAAAGTTGTCAGCAAAAGTGAAAAAAAAACTTTAAATGGAACATTTTTATGATCACATGTAGGGAGAGATAATTCTATTTTTGATTTTGTGTGCTTTAAATAGATCTTAGAATATTTTTATGGGAACATTTGCAGAAAGATTTTACATTTAAACTGGCCATACATTTATCTTTTATATCATCTGTATTTTTAATCTATTGATAAGATCTAAGATTTTAAGAATGAGGAACTAATTATACAAAGTAGCGGGGTTATAATTTTGGCTCATTCGTTGGCTAGTTTGTGGAGCACTACACCTATTCCTGATACACTGGGCATTATCTGAATATTTCTTTTTATGTGCCATGTCCTTTCAGGACATTGGTGATCATGGCTCTCCACTTCCTCCTATCCCTTGCAGCTCTCAGCAAGTTCCTTCCCTCTGCTTCCTCCCCCAGACCACATTCTGTCATCCACTTGCTTAAGCCAGCTAGGTATGTCATGTGTTGTTTTTCCTTGTCTCTCTTTCCCTCTATTCAACCTGTGAGTATCAGATTCTCCAGGCCTTTCTTCCTCATTATGTGTCCCAGGAAGTTCAGCTGCCTCTTCCTGATGTTAAGTTTAAGCCTCTCCCTTGCTTACATCCTCTCTAAGACCTCATTGTTGCTCACACACTCAGTCTGTGATATCTTCAGCATCCTTCTGTAGTCTCTTCTTCATCTTTGAGAAAATCGTCCAACATTCGCTGCTATAAAGAATAGATGTCACATAAGAGCTCAGTATTCTTTTCTTTGTTACCAAAGAAATCCTCCTACCCATCTTTTGGAATGCATCCTTAGCCAACCCAATACGTCTACGGATCTCGGTGTTGCACTTACCGTCCTCTGTCAAAATGCTTTCCAGACATTTAAACTTCTGCGTCTGCTCGATTCTAGTGTTCCTGGCCTGAAAATCACATTTCAGGCTCATCCTTTTACTGATGACCATGCATTCTGTCTTCTTGTAGTTTATGCTTAGTTCCTTCTTCATAATAAAACAATGTTTCATGCATATAGCCATCATCAGGCACAAAATAAAATTTTCCAATTTAACATATTTTTTATATACTACTGGCAAGATAATGGAGTAGTCCATTTTCATATGGAGAAAATAAATGAATATATAAAAATTAAAGGTAAATGGAAAAAAATAAATAAAAATAAAATATAACTACAAAATATTGATAACCTAAATGTATTGAATAAAAAAAAATGAATTAATAGTTATATGTAGAAACAGAAACAAATATTTATTGGAAAATGTTAAATCAGATTGACTTTGGTAACTGCTAGCATACTTCATGTATACACTATATTTTTAAAAAATGTTTATTGGTTTACAGCCATATAAAGTTGAAACACCAATTCTCGTATAATCACCAAAGTTAAGCAAGATCAAACCTGGTTAGTACTTAGATAAGTGACCACTTTGGAACATCAGGTGCTGTATGCTTTGATGTTCAGGTGATATAATAAATAAGTGCTCAGAATTGGAAATTGGAGAACAGTGTTCCAACTCCAGTCAGATTTATTATGTTCACTTATCCCCAAATAACAATTGGAAAGATATGAATCTAACTCTTCTCCCTTCAGCCATGGGTTAAATAGTAGGATTTGTATTGTAAAATCATTATCTCTAAAAAAATTCTTATTGTCTCAAAATATTTTTGGCTTTAAATAACCTGCAAAAGGTTATTCCCAATTGGTCACCTGTCTAGGTACCAACCAGGATTTATGTGTTTAATTTTGCTGAACAGGCAAGAAGTGATATGGCATGATGTGTGTGTGTGTGTGTAATATATATATAATGTGCATTAAATGTGTTGATTGATACAGATATAATTGTAAGTAAATATATCTACATCTTTGTGTGGCAATTTTCACACTTTCATGTGTGCACATTCAAAGACAATTATGAAACTTATAAAATAAATGCACTTTTGCTTTTCACTTCCTCTTTTATTTCTTGCTCTTATTTTACCATTCCTTTTTCAGACTCAAGGAACTGATACCAAACTTTCTGGCTTTATTAATCCCCTTTGCTGGTATTTGACATTTTCATGTTTGTCTGTACCAATTCTGTTTTGAAAAAATAAAAGGGCAAATTCCAACACCCCCATTTCAACACCCTGCTACAAACATGACTGTATTTGGCTTATTCCAATGACACTGCAAAGCTGTCAGCTTCCTTTATAGAAAACAGAAAAATCAATTTTTATTAGAAGTATCAATTTTTCATTTCCTCTTAGATGTTTTAGTCATTTCAGTTCAAAGACTTCTTTGCCAAAATCCTGACATTGATTCTGTAGAGTTCTAAACAAAAAATGGTTTATTGTGTGTGTAGATATTCTTGTGATTGAAATAGGAATTTTACCATATTTCCAGTTTGTCTATCCAGTTAAAATTAATATTACAACAAATCAAACAATAAAAACAAGTACAAACCTTCAATTGACATAAATGTCTGAATTTATTTAGATAAAGTATTGGCAGTTCTTATTAATTTCTAACTAGTATTTATTTCATTTTTTTTTCTCTTGCTTTTACACCTAGTAGCAATAATCTTAAGTTGTGTGAATTGTGATGATGCACTGCAATTATTTTCACTATTTTCATTGGTACTACTGTTTTCATCATACCATGAGTGTTGTGATAAAAAACAACAAAAATAATATAAAAAGAAAAATTAGTTAAAAATGAATTATTAATTATGCTTCAGTATCTGTCTATATTTCTGAGATGAGATATTATGTACACTATTTTCAACATTCCAACCAACTGAAGAAGGTCGGAGTGTACAACAGCCAAAATGTTGTGATAAACATGGTGACAAAGATGAGGACAATAGTCTGAATAATATAAATAATGTAATTATGCTTCATCTGAAGAATTCAAACAACTTAAGACTTTTTCTACAGGCTCAAAAACTAGAAAGATAAAATGAGAGAAACACTTGTCAAAAATTACCATTCCTGCCTGAATTTCAAGTTATTAATTACATTTGGACTATTGTCCTCATCTTTGTTGTTATAACAATATTTTGGTTGGCTTTCATCAGGTGTATATCAATTCAGGTAACCTACAGGGAAATTCTACAGAACAATATCCTTGTGGATTAAAGCATTGGTTCTTGAATTTGGTGACAGTAATTGTGTGTTCAATCCCTGGACTAAGCAGTGTGTACTACAAATCAGTTCAAACAGAGTGAGCAATAACCAAGCAGTACTAAAAATAAGAACTAGATCAGATATCCCTAGACATTGCAATAGAACGAGAACAGTCTACACCCCCATAGATTAAATAAAGGACTTGGTTTGAATGGTATTCCATGTAGGTTACGTTGATCGATCAACACTTCATGAAGGTCGGAGGCACAACAGCCAAAACATTGTTATAACAAAAATAGCAAAGATGAGGAGAATAGTCCAAATGTAAATAATGATAACTTCTCATCCCTGAAATTCAGACAGGCATTGAAATTTTTAACTAGTATTTCTTTTATTTTATCTTTTTTGCTTGAACCTAGTAACAAAAGCCTTAAGTTGTCTGAATTTTTCAGATGAAGCATAATTAGTAATTCATTTTTAACTAATTTTTCTTTTTATATTTGTTGCTTTTTATCACAACACTCATTGTAATTTTTGTTTGAGAGTTAAACAAATAGAATGGATCAACAATTAAAAATAAACTTTCACCAACATCTGGATTAACACTTTCTATTCTTCAGCATTTTATCCACTTTAATCTATTGAGTACTTTGGTGGGAAAAAATAAGAAATGCAGATTTGTAACTCATAATTTTTTTCTGCATGAATCAGTTATGGTTTCACTTCAAATGTTCCTGTTTCCCAGCAGAAAAGATTGAACAGGAAATTCAGACTTGTTAAATATGGCTGAAAGCCAAATAGGAGGAAATGGTGGTTGAAACATTGTGTAGAACTTGTTTCAAAGTGGGAAAGGGGGTGAGGAATCTGGTTTATATTTGGAGTTGAACTGGCATCAGTACGAAATATAATTACAGAAACTACAATTAAAATCTCCACATATTGATAGTTTTTAGCTAGATAGGACAAAGTATTTAAGTATAAAGTGCACAGTGAGGATTAATTTCATGATAGTTATTGTGTTCAGTGAGAATATTTTGCTATTAGAAGCAACATGAAATCACAGGTATCCTTTCCTCTGTTTTTATTGCTACTCTTTGCGCTCATTTATTGTCATTCTCTTTTTATTGCTACCCTTTGCTCTCATTTATTGTCATTCTCTTTTTATTGCTATTCTTTGCTCTCATTTATTGTCATTCTCTTTTTATTGCTATTCTTTGCTCTCATTTATTGTCATTCTCTTTTTATTGCTATTCTTTGCTCTCTCATTTATAGTTATTCTTTTTTATTGCTATTCTTTGCTCTCATTTATTGTCATTCTCTTTTATTTACCCTTTGCTCTCATTTATTGTCATTCTCTTTTTTATTACCCTTTGCTCTAATTTATTGTCATTCTCTTTTTATTGCTATTCTTTGCTCTCATTTATTGTCATTCTCTTTTTATTGCTATTCTTTGCTCTCATTTATTGTCATTCTCTTTTATTGCTACCTTTGCTCTCATTTATTGTCATTCTCTTTTTTATTGCTATTCTTTGCTCTCATTTATTGTCATTCTCTTTTTATTGCTACCCTTTGCTCTCATTTATTGTCATTCTCTTTTTATTGCTACCCTTTGCTCTCATTTTTGTCACTCTTTTTATTGCTATTCTTTGCTCTCATTTATTGTCATTCTCTTTTTATTGCTATTCTTTGCTCTCATTTATTGTCATTCTCTTTTATTGCTATTCTTTGCTCTCATTTATTGTCATTCTCTTTTATTGCTACCCTTTGCTCTCATTTATTGTCATTCTCTTTTTATTGCTACCCTTTGCTCTCATTTATTGTCACTCTTTTTATTGCTATTCTTTGCTCTCATTTATTGTCATTCTCTTTTTATTGCTATTCTTTGCTCTCATTTATTGTCATTCTCTTTTTATTGCTATTCTTTGCTCTCATTTATTGTCATTCTCTTTTTATTGCTACCCTTTGCTCTCATTTATTGTCATTCTCTTTTTATTGCTATTCTTTGCTCTCATTTATTGTCATTCTCTTTTTATTGCTATTCTTTGCTCTCATTTATTGTCATTCTCTTTTTATTGCTACCCTTTGCTCTCATTTATTGTCATTCTCTTTTTATTGCTACCCTTTGCTCTCATTTATTGTCATTCTCTTTTTATTGCTATTCTTTGCTCTCATTTATTGTCATTCTCTTTTTTGCTACCCTTTGCTCTCATTTATTGTCATTCTCTTTTTTTATTGCTATTCTTTGCTCTCATTTATTGTCATTCTCTTTTTATTGCTATTCTTTGCTCTCATTTATTGTCATTCTCTTTTTATTGCTACCCTTTGCTCTCATTTATTGTCATTCTCTTTTTATTGCTATTCTTTGCTCTCATTTATTGTCATTCTCTTTTTATTGCTACCCTTTGCTCTCATTTATTGTCATTCTCTTTTTATTGATACCCTTTGCTCTCATTTATTGTCATTCTCTTTTTATTGCTATTCTTTGCTATCATTTATTGTCATTCTCTTTTTATTCCTAGTCTTTGTACAATGATGCAAGATGTTGGCAGACAAAAACCACAAGTAACAGATGCAAATGTTGAGAGTGTGTGAATGTTGGTGCACTCAGATAGAAGATTAACTATGCAACTGATAGCAGAAGAAACATTGAATTTCAAACTTTTAAAATTTTTTTTTTCTTTTCCAATATCTTCAGCCTTTCTTATCAGTGAATAATTATAACTGAAGCTGAAACGCACATGTATAAATACATCTTGAATATTTTTTTTACAGTAAGGTTCACCCTGTATCAGGTTCAGATGCCACTTGAGCTAGATGGTTATGTTAAGACACAATTTGTACAAACAGGAGAGGAAGATAACAGTTAACCCTAGCTTTGAACAGGTTAAGATTGTAGTGATTGAGAAAACATCCTCGGTTCCACAGAGCAGTGGTTCACAGGAAGAAGCTTTTCAAGTGAACTTACTGAATGGAATATGGAGGCAATGTGGATGGTTTGCTACTATGTAAGTGGCATGACGTGCCCTTGTTGTAAAGGTTTGAACTGGCAGAACATGTTACCAATATCATTTTAATATGAAAGGATTGACAGGATAATAAAATATGACATTATGTGTGTTTTTTTAATCATTTCACCCCAAGTAAGGCAATAAAGCCCCTAAGATGCAAGGGGTTACTGAGTGTGAGTGAATATGAGAAAAAGAAAACATTATTAAGGAGAGTGAATAATAAAAGAACAGAAATTAAGAAGATAACGATTGACAAATATATATGTTTATTGTATATTTACTGAATTTGCATGATTCATATTGATTTCTGAATGAATAAATATGGCTGTCTGTCACTTTTTCCCAGGTTTAGAAGTGAATTTTTAACACACAAACATCACATGGGTTTTTTTGGTAAGTTTATTTACCGTTGTTTCCAAATGTTTTACATCAAATATTTGCTTTTTGGTGGGGAACAGATTATCTTTCTTTCTTTCCCCTGAAATACAGTTCATGATTTATAAATGTGTGTCAACATTTTCTGTCACTGACCTATCGATATGGAAATACCATCAAGCGTGAATGTCTATTCCAGATAGAGAATTAATTATGAGCACAGACAGACACAGAAACACAAAAATGGATGCAGGTACATGGAGACACAAGCACACATAGAGACAGAAACAAAAATACAGATACAAATATATACTTTTTCAAAGTGGCTGATTTCAAAACTACTTTTGTTGAAATATAATTTTAAAAAAAACATTAAACATCAGAAATTTGTTATGTGGTCTTGTGGGAGGTGACATTTCCCACTCTACAGCCTCTTTCCTGACAGTTGCAAAGTTGCAAACCTATTACTACTCTGTCATTATTTTCATAGCAATTGCTCAGAAGAGCTCCATTCTCTAGTTTTACCAGTTCAGACCATTACTGCTAGGATACACCATGTTACTTCCATAGAATTGAATCACCCTTATTCCCTCCGTGTAAGAAGGATGTTCCATTCTGATTGCTAATTCCAATGAACTACAACATTGTGGAACAGATGCCTATGTAGATGCTTCTCTAAACACTTTAATTTTGACCTCTTTAAGTCAAGGGTCAGTCATTATCTATCTTCTTTATCCTCAATTCCTACCATCTTCCACTTATTTCATACACCTCATTCACCATTATCATTTCAACTATAATGTCCGACTTTGAGCCTTATGTTGGATGATATTTAGTTTTAAAAAAAAAAGCCAAATATAACAGGTTACAAATATTTATGTCAAATCAATATTCAATTATGTATATAGAAAATAAATCCTATATATATTTTTTCAACCAATAAAATCCCATCAGAAAGTTTGTTGGATAAACAATAATTACCAGGGCAAATACCACCAAAATACATGCATAAGTATTTTTGGACCATTTAGAAAATAATAAAAATAACTCCCTTCACCACTCCTGCATCTTTGAGAAAAAGATTTTTGCAAGCCAATATAAAATTATTTTCTAAGTAATGAAAGCTATGTATTCAAAAAGTTCACATTTCTCTCAGAAATTAGGATATAAAAATAGAAGCCTACTGCTTCTTGGTGCTTACAACAATTTTGGTGGTTAATTAGATCTACACAGGTGTACACATGCACCTGCATATACATGCACACAATGAAAAGATGATAGCTAGCAGCTGCTGACTCAGGCTTTGTACCATCATAAAATCAATTTGTTCACACATTTATAAGAATAGTGAAAGATGCCTTTCAGAAATTGAGCAGAGTATTAAGAGACAGGAAAATATCCTCAGAAAACAAGTTTCTGAATTGCTATGTAATACCTAATCTCCTATATAGCAGTGAATATAGGAGAATCTCTTCAGAGATGAAGAGGAGACTTGAAGCAACAGAGATGATGTTCCATGGATAAATGTTGAGAATACCATGGACATGTGAGCAATGAGGAAGTCTTAAAGAAAATAGGAACAACAAAGAAACTGCAGCTAGCACCCAGAAAATTATGGGAACAAATAATGTGGAAAAGATGGTGTGGAAAATTTAACACTCACAGGACATATTGAAAATGAGAATTTGCAGAAACAGTGAGTAAACAACTTAACAAGTCTAAGAACAAGGGTTCTAAATACAAAAAAGGATGCTAAAGAGACAAGAATTACTTCGGAAGTTGAGGAGGGCCATGCTCACTCAGTCTTGAAAAGATGTACTTTTTTTATATATATAAAAACTCATAAAAATTATTTTCACTCTTAAAGAAATTTTTATTTACAAAAATTTTAAAACAGTTATTTTGACTTTATTTCATTAAGTTTTATTCTTTGAAAAAAAAAATGTTTATTTTAAATCTATTTTTATATCTCTATCTATAAAAGTCAGGATATGTGTTTGTGTAACGAATGCATGGCTGCAATTTTCGACGGATTTGCACCAAAATTTACATGCACATGCTCCAAGTTAGCAGGAAGGCCAAGACCGACTTTGCAGTTCCCAACTCCCATCGATAGTGGAAATAATCAATTTTTTCATGCTTCTACAGCAGTTTTTATGTAGTTTGCGGCCATTTTGTACTGGCCAGAGTGAGGGCCAATAGCTGGCTGCCACGAATAGGCAGGAAGATTCTATTGGCCAGCATGAGAGCCAACAGCTGACTGACACAAATGTTAACTAGCATGCAAAAAAAATCGATAGCTGCATTCGTCACAAGTGGGAAAAATTTAAATCTGCATGGCACTTTACTCCAATTGGCTCATTCGCTTGCAACGTTGATTCTGATTCCGCAGAACTGGGTTCGGTGTGAAAAAGTATTTGTTGTTAACATTCTTTTTTCATTCGGTTTTTCCAGTTACGAGTCCTTTTTTAAAACTGATCGTTTTGTGTTCATTTTGTTTAGTTCTTTTTTCATAACAGATTTAATGTTTAGTATAGAGCTTGAAATAAATTTGCAGTGTGAGATAGGCAAGAAGTAAGGCATGTAGCAACATCAGGATGGCAAAGGGCACTCCTTTAAAGGCAAGGAAGGGCAAAAATATTTTAAGTCAAGTGATAGCGATTGCTGTATGAGTTGTACGATTTTTGAATCAAGCATGGGCAACGCCGGGCCATGCTGCTAGTGTGAACATATTATTTGATAAATAAATGCAAAAGAAAAGAATAGGATTAAGATTAACTATAAAAATGTTTTAGAAATTTGTTTTTTATTAATTGTACTGCATAGCTTTTCAGAGACATTTTTTACAAATAGAATGCATTTTGTGACTCATATTTTAGTTGCAATTATTGTGTGTAATGGTCATAGTAATATTAGCTCTTTACTTATAAAGAGACATTCGGCTTTCATTGGCTGAACAGCTAGTGAATCATGTTTGTGTGACAATGATATTGTCAAATAAACTGTGAAATATTGTCAAAATTTATTATCACTTAATGAAATATTAATTCACTACAAAAATCTGACATTACTTTCTGTTGAATAATTAATTAGAAACTATAATTCTAAATTGGGACTAATTATTTTGTTTAGCAAATTTTTAAAAAAAAAGTAAAATTGACAATTTTAAATATTAAATGAGTTGATTTAATGTTGCCCAGGAGAATGAGAACTATCTACACTGTTGATTAAATAAAGTGTTCAGTTTGAAGCACTTGAGAGCAAAATAGCGGAAACATTGATAACAACAATGATGTGGTCAATAGTCCATATATAAATAATAATTTTTTGTCCTAATTTAAACATCTTTCTTTCATTGTTATTTGCTATTCTCCTTTCTTTTATTTAACAGATTCTTAATTTCTTTGGGTCTTTGCTTTCCCAGCGAAAAAAATCTTGAGGCTGGAGTTGACTAAGGAAAGATAATGGGAAAATGGAATGAATCTTAGTGACACATACACAGCAGGTTGGTTCTATTTACCAAGTGCTTTCTCTTTTGTAACCTTTGACCTTTGTTAAATAGACTCCAGGGAAGGAACTGCAGGTGGTGAAAGGTACACAAAAGAAATAATTAACTAATAAAAGCAAAGGTAGTGGAAGTTTGAAAGATAACCCAATGACAGAAAGGTTGAACATAAAACAGTCGATAATGTGATTAGATGAAACAACAAAAGCCCCCTCCAGTGTTTTTTGTATGAGATACGGATTGAAACTCCATTAAAAAAAAATGTTAGTAGGGAAAGTTCTTTGAGATCTAAAAACATGGGAATAAAACTGTTGAAAGTTTTCATATCTGAGAGAAATAACTTTTGCACTGACCTTTTTTTATTCTGCCTTATCAAGTTTTAAGATAGCAAGTTTTAAAGAAAGAAATGTTATTAGCCCTGATACTAACATTCACGCTTAACAAATTTTTCTTGTCTGTAATATTCAGAAAATTGATAAAAACGCAATGATAATTATAGACTGATTTAGTGGAACTAGTATCTTCATTGCTTACAGCCCTATCATGTTGAAAGATCGGTTATCATATGATCACCAAAGTTAATCATTGTCAAGCCTGGTCGGTACCTAGAAGTGGAGGGATTGAGGATTTGCTGTTGTTCCACAC